ACTTAGCCGAAGGTGCTGATCGAAACCTTATCTAATGTTCTATGAGTTGCTGAGGTTGGTTTCCGAAAAAAACTATGTCCATCTCAGTTCTTTCTTCATATTCCAGAGGAAATAATCGTGTTTTGATAAAACTGGCTGTAGTAGTCATCACTAACCACTTCTTCCTTTGCTCCTGCTTGAACATCATTGGTTTCTGCAACATTTTCTGAAGCATCGTCTACGACGATTACTGGCTCCGTTGGGGCTGCTGTGGATTCACTCAAAGAGTTTACATCCATGCCGATCTCCGTCTATAATAAAGGCCACTCTATTTCAAAACGTTAAGACATTTTCATTTTCAGAAATTACCTTATCTTCACCAAAGTTTGTTTCCACCTGTTTGTGTTCAGTTGAGCTTTCAGGAACGGGAGCTTCGGTTGCTTCTGCAGGAAGAGGAACCGTACGGAGTTCTTCATCTGGCTGAAAAGAAGGTCTATGAAGAAACTGCGCAGAGATTACGAGGAATATATGCGAACGAACCATAAGTGTTGATATGCTCGTTTCATGGGTGATTCCTTCATCAATTGCTTTGACAAATGCTTCAATGGCAGAGGTGCTACCTGATACCTTAAATGTATTTTATTTGTATTTTGTATAAATGAGCACCAAAAATAATAAGGTAGTGATCTACGATTGCTTAACTACTAAACAGACATTTGATTGTACCCCACCAGCTAAGAAAGTATCTTCATCAAAGTATTTCTAAGTAAACATTTCGAGAGGCGAGTGATTTTATTTTTCTAAAATTAGAAAAAAATCTTATCAAAGCGCTCTTTCGCCAACATCCCGATTCCTTTCAGAAGCTGCAAACAAAGGGACTCTACTTATCGCCACACCGAATCAAAACCTTTCCTCGATACGTGTCATCTCAAATGACTGGACAGGGAACAGAGCCAGAATGTCGTCATCTTCATGCTCTTCACTCACTTCATGCTCATTTACTGGGGTGGTGCTCATTTCCTCGTCGCTGGTGGAGTGAGCTTCAGCCTCAGATGACGTCTGAAGTTGTCAAAATGTTCACAATATCTCTTATGCTAATTTTCTTATACTCACTTTGGCCATGATCTCCGTCGACGTCTCCATGTTGATGGTGGTTTCCGCTTTTACCTCGGCTGTCATTATGGCAGCGTCTGTTGTTGAGTTAGTCTGGGTTTTTTCCTTAGGAGCTT